TTTTTATATCATGCCTCTGTTGTTGTTATATCCTTTTGTTACTGTTTATTTATTAATAAATTTATATATTATTTTCATATACATTTTACTAATTTCCTTTCATCTCTCACACTTCTATTATAGAGAAAGGGCAAATAGCAATATAAAATATCTCTGCTAATTAATTCCCTTTTTTAAAAACATATTTTATTGATTTTTTACAAAGAGGAAGGGAGAGGGATAGAGAGTTAGAAACATCGATGAGAGAGAAACATCGATCAGCTGCCTCCTGCACACTCCCCACTGGGAATGTGCCTGCAACCAAGGTACATGCCCTTGACCGGAATCGAACCTGGAACCCTTGAGTCCATAGGCCGATGCTCTATCCACTGAGACAAACTGGTTAGGGCAATTAATTCCCTTTTAATGTGCACAAATTTCGTGCACCGGGCTACTAGTATATATATAAAAGCCAAGCGACCGGAACAATGGAATGACCAGAATGGCCGGTCACTATGACATGCACTGCAGTGGCCAACAGGCCTGATCAAGGACCTGATCACCCCCCTCACCTCCCATACTTCCCCTTCCAGCCAGCCTGGCCCTCCCACCCCAATTGGGGTTGGGGCCAGCCAGCCAATCTCCTGTGTCCCCTCCCCCCTGCTGGCCCGGCCCAATGGGCCCCCATCAGTGTGGACTGGCCGGACCCCACCTGTGCATGAATTCATGCACCAGGCCTCTAGTCAAATAATATAAATGTATTTAAAGCTACTGACTTTATAACATGCTACACAGATTCAATGTTCTTGTAAAATTAATTCATTGGGCTTTTGAATTGTATTTATAATCAGTATTCTATATATGACCTAATAGAAAAGAACAGTAACATCAAAACACTTTTTTAAAAGTACCTATTTTGAGGTTATAAGATGCCTTTTGTTTTTAGCAAAATGAGAACAATACAATCTAAAATTCTAGTCACTTTAAAGTGGATTATTGCTAAACTGAGACTTTCAAGGATAAAAACCTCTCGTCTCCTGTGATCTGTTGCATTACAGTATGAGCGCAGCATATTTGAGATAGAAAGAAGGGAATGTTAATGGAATTTGAATGCCTCCTGTTGTGAGTGATTTCTCTGGATACATTCACTAAATCTAACCTTCCCATACAACTTAAACCCTACACTGATATAGGCAAGAACTTTGGTTACTCATGGTTTTCTTTCGTAAAAAAATGTAGACCTGACCATAATCTTTTAAGTGTTATTATTATTCATTGTCAGGACAGAGAGAAGAGGCACATAGAATTGTGGTGTACAAATACTATATTTCTGTCTGAGTTTTAATGACAATTTACAATATGGGAGATTATTTTCAATTGATGAAAAATCTGAATTTATAATTATGAATGTAAACAAAAAGAGAGGAAATTATTGGTAAAGGTAGGTGGGAATATATGGATAGCTTAATTCCTTAATGACTGCCGCATATCAGGTCATTTGTCAACGATATAAACTATTATTTATCTGATTTCATATTCTAATTATGTGATTTCCAATTACTGTTGGTTTATAATTGGAAACATAATTTCATTAATTTCAGAATTTGTTCTATTGAAAGAGTTATGTGTCATAGATTACTTTTAAAATTTATTTCAGAGAAAGGAGTAGAGAGAGAGAGAGAGAGAGAGAGAGAGAC